TTCCCTGCTTTGCAGAGAAGCAATTTCCAGCATATTGCCGCTGACAGGACACAGCTCTGCCTTGCTTACAAACCAGGCAGCCACGAGCAGCACTATACACCCCAATGGTCAATTGACAAATGCCAATGGCGCTAGACCCATGGATGAAAGGCCCAGTACCAGCACTGGAATATCCCATCAAACCCCAAGATTCAGGACCCAAATTTACCTAACAGACACTCTTGCCAACCCAGTATGGCTGTTCTTCAACTCAGGATCAACAAGCATTTCACCGCACAGCCAGGTGTGCAGGCCAATACAGAAAATATTTTCAGAAATTTATTTTTTTAAATTTTTGCCCGACAGTTTACTTCATTTTATTGTGGACCAGACAAACCTTTTTGCCCAACAATTCATTTCTAACAACCCCAGTTCATCCTATGCCCGTACATTTGAATGGAGACCTCTTACATTGGAGAAATTTAAGTTATTTTTGGGCCTCACCCTTAACATGGAGCTTACAAAAAAAAATTAAGGACATGCTTACTGGTACACACACTCAATCCACCACATACCCATTTATTCTGCTCTAATGCCCAAGTCACATTATGAGATGATCATGCAGTTCCTTCATTTCAGTGACAATACCCACTGCCCTCCCCGAGATCATTTTAAACTATGACAAATTACACAAAATTCGCCCTTGTCTTAATTTTTTTTCCCAAAGATTTGCTGAACACTTTACATCCCTGAACAAAACATATGTGTGGATGAATCCCTTGTTCACTTCACTGGCTGGCTGGGGATCAAGCAATATATTTCAAGAAAAAGGTCCAGATATGGAGAAAAGCTCTACAAGCTTTGTGACAGAGACAATGGATATTTTTATGCATTCCGCGTGTACGAAAGAAAAGATTCCCAGCTGCAGCTCCTTGAGTGCCCAACCTACATCGGCACAAGTGAAGTGGTTGTCTGGGACCTGGCTTTTCCACATTTCCAAAAAGGCTATCACATCTACCTTGACAATTCCTATACCAGTCTGCCCCTTTTCTGACACCTATACCAGGAGAAAACCTTAGCCTGCGGTACCTTCCAAAAAAAACAGGAAGGGCTTCCCAAAAACTCTAGTAACCACCAAGCTACAAAGGGGGAATCAGCAAGTTTAAGAAACAACGAAGTGCTGGCCCTGAAGTGGAATGATAAGAGATATGATCACATCCTGTCCACCATCCACAATGGCACCTCGGTGGAAATTACTGGAAGTCATGGTCCCATTCAAAGCCTGCGTGCATCCAAGATTTGAATCTCTACATGGCAGGGTGGATTTTCAACATTCAGATGCTACAGCCTTATTTACCAATAAGAAGTTCCTGTTACTGGTATAAAAGAGTTGCAATTTATCTTATTCATTTGGCTATTTATAATGACTATGTCACCTACACCAAATCCACAGAAAGACACACCACCTTCCTCAAATTTATAGAAGAAATTTTCACGACCCTTATCTATCAGTAAGTAACCCCCCCCCCCCAGAAAGTACTTGATCTGATTCTGTGAGCAGACTTCATAAGTGCCATTTCCCTGAGAGCATTCCACCAACAGAAGAAGGCCAGAGACGCCAAAAAAGATGTTGGGTATGCAGCAAAGGGAGAGTTAGAAGAGACACCAGTTTTCATTGCCCCCCAGTGTCTCTCCCAACCAGGCCTGTGCGTCTGCTTCCAACGTTTTCACACATCACTAAAATATTAGCCTATTATTCTAAAAGCCTATTTTCAACATATCTGCTAATCATTTGCCTTCTGCCTCAACCAACCATGCCACTGCCTTCTGCCTTAACTTAACATGGCCTGTTTATCGACTATACCTCTGCCTGCCATCTGCATTGTTTATCCACCACATTTCTGCCTTCCTTCTATCTGCCTTTATCGACTATGCTTCTGCCTGCCATCTTGATTATCAACCACGTTTATGTCTTCGTACTGGACTGACCTTAGCCTGTTAATCGACCATGTGTTTTGCCTGCCGTTAGGATTGATCTATTATGTCGCTACTGTAGTAGTGTGATTCAAGATAACACAGGGGTCTCACATATGTGACAGACTTCAGAGTATAGTTCTAAGTAGAGAAAAACTGTTTTTTTTTCTCCGGGTTTTGTAACTCCCAGAACAGGGTCTGGCTGTCCAAAATCTTTGAAGAGATTGGGTGGAATGAAGCCTCTACCCCTGTGCCCCGATCCTACCTGACCAAGACCCTAAGCCTTATGTTCCTGACTGCTGCCTGGACAATACTTTGGCTGTGCTGACCATATCTCTGCCTACTGCCTGTACTGCCTACTGCCTACTGCCTACTCTGCAGCAGCAGAGCAGACACAGAGCTGTCATTCGCTTGCTCAGCGGGAATCAGCAGAGAGATCCCTTGCTGAGCAAGCGGATCGGCTAAACGGGTCCGCTCCATGTGAAAGGACTCTAAATCTTTCACACAGACCAAATAATATAGACAGATTTGGGTTATTTTTACCAAAGAATGTAGCAGTATACATTTTGGCCAAAATTTATGAAGAACAATTCCCTATTTGCTAAATTTTACAACGGAAACAAATAAAAATAAAAATAATTTTTTTTTCAAATTTTTTTGGTCTTTTTTCATTTCATTTAGTGCAAAAAATAAAAAAAAATCCAGTGCTGGCTAAATACTGCCAAAAGAAATCTCTATTTGTGTGAGAAAAAGGACAAAAATGTCATATGGGTACAGCATTGCATGACAGTGCTGAAAGCTGAAAATTGGTCTGGACAGAAAGGGGGTATAAGTGCCCAGAAGGCAAGTGGTTAAAGAGTGAGTGCTAACACTTGGAGTCAAAAAGGTCCTTCAAAGGTGCTCATGTTGATAGAAAAAGAGAGCAGAGTGAGCATAACCATAACTTTATTTATTAGTTTGTTACCACTGCTGGGGTGCTGAAAAGGGAAATCACTGACCCGGCTATATATCTGATGAAGGGATATGAATTACAGGATTGTTTGACCTTCATTACAAAAAATATTTGGTAAGTAAAATAAAGCCATTTGTATCTTTCAACTGTATTTTTACCTGCAGGTCTGGTACTAAGCTTTAAGGAGTAAGTCCACTTTTGTTGAGAAAAAAACAATCCCCTCTGGGTGATCTATGTAATTTTCAAAGATTTTACAAAAATTTGTTGCAGGGTCCTACCTGTTGCTGCACTGAAGCTCTTTGTTCAGTTTTCTCTTCTGGCACTTATTCTAAATGAGAGTAACTAATTTTAATCAGCTGGTGCTTTTTTGATTTTCTCATGAGAAACATTCCATTATTGAAATCCATTTAGAAGTGATTAACCCTTAGGGAGTATCTGACAAAAAAAATACATATTTTATTACAAAGGATGCCTAAAATCTGACTTTGTTTCTGAGAGTTCTTCACTCATGCAGGAAATGACATTTCTGGGAACGTTCTCTACACCAACAGTGTGCAGAATGCCTCCAGGTTGCCATATTGCATTGAATACTATAGAAAATTACAGAGCTGCAAATTGAAAAGGAAAGGTAATTTTAATGACATTAAATTACAATTTGGCTTGAGTAACAATTGGATATGCTATATAATTTTTTCATTTGCTACATTTTTTCTGAAAAAAAAATTGGAGTTACCCTCTAAATTAAATACAAATGTAAAAAGCTAGACCCTGGTAAATGTTTATCACCTAAAGCCTCTGAGAAACTTTTGTTTTTCACTTGTATTTCTGTACTTTTCCTGATACATTATTATGTACGATTTTTTTGGTGTGAAAAAGCAGGTGCTAGATATCGCTAGCTAAATACTGAAGTGTTATTGAACATGAAAAACATGGTTTGGGGGTGTATTCCTTCTGGAAATGGGAAAATGTATCTTCGTGTTATGAACTGCTGCTTCCCTGAGTGTTGAATAGCAGCTGTTCCGTCTGCATGCATTGATTCCTTGCTACCTTAAAAGCTGGATAATTGATGGAAAACAAACACAGAGAGGGTTGCCAGACCTCACAGACTCAGAACTGATCTCTGCATTAGCCTAGGCTCTCTCAGGGGGTATACACTATCAAAAGAGCTTCTCTTCTGTCATTGTAGGAGACAAGCAGTGGAGATCTGAATGTAAAATCTTTATACGCACAATGAGCGCTGAGCCAAGAGAGAGCTCAGGCCAGGAGGGGTCATTTCTCAGACAACTTCATTTCAGAGTTGGCAAAGCAGCAAAAATGTTATAATATATTTTAAAAAAAAAACAGCACTTCAAACACAAAATAGTACTGCAAAAGTGAGTAGACCAAAAGGTATTACTTTAAATATATTATAAAGATCTTGTGTACCAAAATGAAAATTAATTTACATCCAGCCAGTGTTTACTGATGAGTAATTTGAATAGTCGGAGAACTGTTTTTCACAACTTCATTCCTCGCACTGTATAACATGGACCAAACTGATTTCTGCATTTCTGTCATTGACCTGTTTATGTGGTAATAAGTTTGTCATTACTTAACCACTTGCTCTCCAGCAGATTTACCCATCTTCCTGACCAGGTCATTTTTTGCGATATAGAGCTGCTTTACTTAACCACTTCAAGTCCGGACACTTTTACCCCCTTCCTGTCCAGGCCAATTTTCAGCTTTCAGTGCTGTCACACTTTGAATGACAAGTGAGCGGTCATGCACCCATATGAATTTTTTAGCATTTTTTTGAGACAGATAAAACTTTATTTTGGTGGTATTTATTCACCTTTGCTATTTAAATTTTTTTTTTTTTGCTATGTAAATGAAAAAGTCCAAAAATTTTGAAAAAAAAGTGTTTTTCTTATAAAATTTTGCAAATAAATAATCTTTCTTCATAAATCTTGGACAACATGTATTCAGCTATCTTTTTAGTAAAAAAATAAATAACCCAAATTACCATATTTGTCGCTCCATAAGACGCACTTTTTTCCCCCCAAAAAAAGGAGGGAAAATGTCAGTGCGTCTTATGGAGCGAATATGGAGCGGCCGGTCCGGTAATTCCGCCGCCGCCACCGTGTCAGAATACCGGGCCGGCCGCTCAGCTCTTTTCTGCAGGAGGATCTCACCTGTTCCTCGGTCCAGTGCTGTGCAGTCTTCCTGCGCCGGCATCTCTCAACCGGGTGCCCACTGCGCATGCGCGAGAAGCGCTGCTCTTTGTGAATGGTCCGGCGTCTTCTGGGACACATGAAAGGTACCCGCACCCCCTCCCTCCCCAAAGGTCTGCAGTTTCTGGTCATCCCCAGTACTGTCTGCAGTCTCTTGTCATCCCCTGTACTGTCTGCAGTCTCTGGTCATCCCCTGTACTGTCTGCAGTCTCTGGTCATCCCCTGTACTGTGTCTGCAGTCTCTGGTCATCCCCACTACTGTCTGCAGTCTCTGGTCATCCCCTGTACTGTGTCTGCAGTCTCTGGTCATCCCCTGTACTGTGCCCCCAGTCTCTGGTCATCCCCTGTACTGTCTGCAGTCTCTGGTCATCCACTGTACTGTCTGCAGTCTCTGGTCATCCCCTGTACTGTGCCCACAGTCTCTGGTCATCCCCTGTACTGTCTGCAGTCTCTGGTCATCCACTGTACTGTCTGAAGTCCCTGGTCATCCCCTGTACTGTGTCTGCAGTCTCTGGTCATCTGTACTGTCTGCAGTCTCTGGTCATCCCCTGTACTGTGTCCACAGTCTCTGGTCATCCCCTGTACTGTGCCCGCAGTCTCTGGTCATCCCCTGTACTGTGTCCACAGTCTCTAGTCATCCCCTGTACTGTGTCCGCAGTCTCTGGTCATCCCTTTTATTGTGTTCGCAGTCTCTGGTCATCCCCTGTACTGTGTCCACAGTCTCTGGTCATCCCCTGTACTGTGCCCGCAGTCTCTGGTCATCTCCTGTACTGTGTCCGCAGTCTCTGGTCATCTCTGGTCATGTCTGCAGTCCATTGGTTCAGAATATTTTTTTTCCTGTTTTACTCCTCTAAAACCTAGGTGCGTCTTATGGTTGGGTGCGTCTTATTGAGTGAAAAATACGATAGTTTATAACCAAAAATAATTTTTTTTAACATACTGTCGCCCTAGCCATAGTGATTCTGTACTACTTGTGGGGGGTGATGAAGATTTTTTTTTTTTTACACTGATTGCTTTTACACCCATAAAGGCTGTAAAAGCAATTATTTCTCCTTCTCTCTAGCTACATTCTTGCAGCCATTGAGATTGGTCACAGCTTGTCATATGGTACAAGGCTGTTGTGAATAGCCTTGTACCATGTGACCTCTGTGATCATTCACAGATTTCACACGTAGTAAGCAATGATATCAGAAGTGATATCTTGCTTACTACTATTTATGTGATCACTGATTGGCCAATCAGTGATCAGTGATCACATGATCGGGACTTCACACAGAGGAAGTGCGCACAGGCTGAAAATGCGGGCACTGTTTATGAATGGCAACCCACTCCTGCATTGCTTCCGTCCAGGCGTTTATATACATGGGCCGGACGGGAAGTGGTTAAACTGACAATTGCGTGGTCATGCAATGCTGAACCCAAATAAAATTTATGTCCTTTTTATTCCCACAAATATAGCTTTCTTTTGGTGGTATTTGATCATCTCTGTGTTTTTTAGTCTTTGCGCTATAAACAAAAAAAGACGGACAATTTTTAAAATAATAAATCATTTGGACTTTTTGCTATAAAACATATCCAGTAAAAAGAAAATAAAAAAATCAGATTTTGTCATAAATTTAGGCCAAAATGTATTCTGCTACATGTCTTTGCTAAAAAAAAATCCCAATACGTGTAAATTAATTGGTTTATGTGAAAGTTATAGCATTTACAAATGGTGGTATATATATATATTTGAATTTTTTTTATATATACTAGTAGTGGCTGTGATTAGCAACTTATAGCGGGACGGCAGGACTGCGGCGGGCATTCTGAGACTGGGGGGGACCTGACTAACTGCCACTGACATCCCAATGACACTAATACAGTGATCAGTACTAATAAAAAGCACTGACACTGTACTAATGACACTGGGCATGAAGGGGTTAACATATTGGGCGATCAAAGGGTTAATTGTGTGCTGTGTGTGTTTTACATAATGTGCTGTGTGTGTTTTACTAGGGAAACATGCTGCTGTGCATTTCTCTGCTGTGCAAAAGTAACACACAGCAGCATGTTACTGCTGGCAAGAAAGAGACCTGTGTTGTTTACACACAGGTCTCTCCCTTGTCAGTGTCAGGCTGGCCATACACTATACAATTTTCTTCAAATTTTCTGTCCAATTTGCTGCCCAATTTCCTTTAGATTTACTTTCAACTATGTAGTGCAAGGGCCTGCCTAATTGGATACAATTGAAAGTGTTGTTTAGGTCTGACCTCATATTACATCATTTTAGATAAATCTAAAGTAAAATTCTCCAGAAAATTGTATTGTCTATGGCCAGCCTTACTCTGCGATCGCCGGGTGCTGGCGGAGAATCTCTGCCAGTACCTGGCATTTAGTTAGTATGGACATGGGAAGAGTAATATGACCATTGCATTTTGATAGCAGTGATGTCGTTCTAGGACAAAGGCTTGTGGAAGAGAAAGTACACCTCTAAAGGTTCCAACAGTTTCCTTTTAATCTAATTCAACTGGTGTAGATTGTTTGTGATAAACATCTTTGAACACTGATCCACAGCTTGCTACTCAGAATATCTATAACTTGGACAAGTATTTGTGATTATACCGGGAGCAGTCTGCATAGAAGACCTGTTGCTGTATCCGTTGGATATACTATACTGCTTACTTTGGCCGATCCTTTGGGCAGTCAAATCTTATGGTAAGAGGCCAATTCTTTTGGGTGGAAGGTGATGACCTTCTGTCTGGATCAGGTTTTTTTCCATTATGCACCAACCTCTACCTGCATATGTGAATCCTATATGGACTTTACTGCCACCTATGTGCATTTATTATTAAACATTTTTGCTATACCATTAAGATACATGTATAGTTAGCGCTGCAATTTGTTTGTTATTATTTAAGTTCTGTCCTGTTCAATGTGCAAGCTGCTTTATCATTTTGATGATTTAAATTCCAAGCGCAAGTTCTATTTACACATATCTACAAATGAAATGCTTTTTTTTTTATTTCACTAAAACAATGAAGAAAATAAATAAAAAAATATATATATAAAAAAGTTCAAATATAAATGGTTTTCAAAAATATAAATAAAATAAGCAAAAAAATAAGCAAAAAAATGTGCTATTGTAAAGGGCTTAATTAGGGCTAATTATGGTTAACTAAGGGTTAATAAGGCGTTAACTAGGTACACATTTTATTGTTAAGCATTTTAATTTATATGAAAAGCAAATTGAATGATAACCCTTAGATCTGCAGATGAATGAAACAAACTAAAAACAAAGTAACAATAATGCTGTATCTCTAAATCATGCTACTGAACAATGTTTACAAACAATGATCACAGAGAAGGTCAAAGGCAAGAGCCAGCTGCTGTATTTACACAGTAAGTTAAAGTTGTTATTTTGACATATATGTACATAAAATAAAAAACACTTTGCATTGATTGAATGATGGAAGTCAGCTTGAATCCATTCACTAAGCTAAAGCAAATTCCCTTGCAAAGTGAAACAGAATATTAGCTTTTGCTAAGTCAATTATTGTAAATATATGGGTTTTAGATGTTATACAGAATATCTTCTTTAACCACTTGCCTACCAGGCACTTATACCCCCTTCCTTACCAGGCCAATTTTCAGCTTTCAGCGCTGCCGCACTTTGATTGACAATTGCGCGGTCATGCAACATTGTACCCATATGAAATTTTGATCATTTTTTTCTCACAAATAGAGCTTTCTTTTGGTGGTATTTAATCGCCACTGGGCGCTTTACTTTTTGCGCTATAAATTAAAAAAAGTGCAAAAAAATTTGAAAAAAAAAAAAAAGTTTATTTGTTTCTTTTATAAAATTTTTCAAACAGGTATTTTTTCTCCTTCACTGATTTGCGTTGATGAGGCGGCACTGATGGGCACTGATAGGCGGCACTGATGGGCACTGATAGGCAGCACTAAAGGGCACTGATAGGCAGTACTAATGAGGTGGCACGGATAGGCAGCACTGATAGACAGCACTAATTAGGGGTCACGGATAGGCGGCACTGATATGCAGCACTGATAGGCGGCACTGATAGGTGACACTGATGATGGGTACTGATAGACGGCACTGACTGGCATCACTTCTGGGCACTGACTGGTGGCACTGACTGGCACAACCCCTGGGCACTGACTGGTGGCACTGAACTGGCAGCACTGGTGGGTGGCACTGGTGGACAGCACTGGTGGGTGGGCACAGGTGGGTGGCACTGGTGGGCACAGGTGGGTGGCGCTGGTGGGCACAGGTGGGTGGGCACAGGTGGGTGGCACTGCTGGGCACATGTAGGTGGCACTGCTGGGCACAGGTAGGTGGCACTGCAGAGTGGCACAGGTGGGGGCACTGCTGGGCACAGGTGGGGGCACTGCTGGGCACAGGTGGGGGCACCGCTGGGAATGGGTGGGCGGGGGGCTAGTGGGCGCACAGCTGATCGGAACTTGCGGGGGTCACTGCTGGGCACCGATCATCAGGGCACTGATCATCAGTGCCCTGATGATCGGTGCCGATCCCCGCTCTGACAACTGCCGGTTCTCGGCAGTACTTTCCTCACGATCTGACAGCGTGAGGAAAGTGCAGCCGAGAACCGGCACTTGCATTTTCCTGTGATCAGCGTGTCATTGGACACCGCTGATCACGTGGTAAAAGGCCGGTGGGATCGGCCTTTCACCACATCTCGTGATCAGCTGTGTCCGTAGGACACAGCGATCACGGAGATCGCCGGGTGCGCGCCCCCTGGGGCGCGCGCAGGAGAGCGCGTTCTGGGAGGACGTCATATGACGTCCACTCAGAACTGGCCGGGGCCGCTTTGAAGCCGTCATTCGGCTATGCGCGGTCGGCAAGTGGTTAAGAGAAACTTGAATTGATTGTACTTTTTATTGCATATATTTGTAGCTTTTGGATCCCTGTAGCTCCTGAAACACACTGGCACATCTTATTGAACACAAACAAAGCTTTTTCTATGCTTTTGACTGTGGGGAGGAACTTTCATTTTCCAAACTCCTTCTACTTTCTCTTATGGTGACAACCTCATTCATTCTTGACAGTCTCTGTTCAGAAATCTTCTCATTAAAGACAGCCTGTACAGTAACTTCCCATAGACTTGAAATTACCATATTCTTTCTGTTGGAGTAAGGCCTCATTCTAGTCTGTGGGAAGTTACTGTGCAGGAACATAAATAATCAAAATCACATGGATAATTATGTAAAGGTATACAGTGCAATAATAACTGAAAATATGTACTTGTTAACAATATACTAAACCTTTCTTTAAAGGTAAATAATGATTACAAATCATTTGATATAACCTAATAAAATTATCTGCCAATATCAACTGAATAGGTCAATGTTCTTCACAAGTTTTAAGAATAATGGAGCTATATTTATTTGCTACTTGAAGGTATCTGGGTGATGTTCGACTTTATTTGCCACATAGTGATATGCTGATTGAACATTTTAAGGTCTTCATTGTATAAGAAATAAGTATTACTCCCAAGAACTGCACAAAATACAGAGTTTAAATCTACTCAAATTAACAATTAAGATTCACATTTAAAAAAAGAAACATTTACGATTTGCTCTGTATTTGATAATAAACAGGTGTTTTTTAAACCGTTTAATGAAA